TTTATTTTATCTTATTTTTTTTAGTTTTTTAAAAATTTTATTTATTTTGAGAAAGATAGAGCAAGCAGGGGAGAGGGAGAGAGAGTATTCCAAGCAGGCTCCATGCTCAACACAGAGCCCAACTTGGGGCTTGAACTCATGAACCGTGAGATCATGACCTGAGCCAAAATCAAGAGTCTGACGTTTAACTGACTGCATCACCCAGGTACCCCTGGAAGAATTTTTTCTTAATGTGTAACACTGTTTATTGTTGGCAAAGAAGTACAAGGAGTTAGGAGTGGCAGGATGAAAACACTTTTCAATATATATCCTGAGGAATTTTAATTTGTTTTCCCTAGTACTCATAGTTTTTACTACTTTAAAAATTAAAAAAAAAAATAAAAGTTAGTCTGAAAAACACCTGTTTATTTGACTATTAATTAACACGACTGCCAATCCACACCATTGGTTCTAATGAAGTAAAACATTTTGTTTATAGGTATCGAAGAAATTTATAAATTATTGAAAACACATGTTAATGGGATCTCACCATGAGATTCTACAAACTTCCAAAATGTAGGCAAATCTTGTTAAGAAGTAATATAATATTTTCATGCTAATCTAGCAAATTATGTGGACTACTGAGTCAACTTGGTTCATTTATTTACTTTGTTTATCAGTCAGACCAGCCCATCACAGAATTTTGCCACTATAAATTGGCCCCTGAACTGACTCATTCAGGCAGGCAGCAACTCCATCAAATCCAATAATTAATCGGGCAGTCCTCCTCCATATGTCACTATGACTATTCATTAAAGCAATGCATATGGCTCTTACCTACATGTGCTAGCATTTTGCTTTTATTCATGGTTCAACAAATTTATGAACCTCAGATCCAGTGGAACAAAGAAAAATTAGTATAGAAGATATTATAATTAGGCTGACAGTTTAAAATTAGAAAAGAAAAACTAAAATTAAGAAGAGATGTTGTCATTAACAGTAGAACTCATGACAGCAAACAACTGTTGATTGCCTTCAATGTGTAAGGAACAAGGCTAGACTCTAGAAACATATGACCTTGTCCATGGCCACAGTATTACTTTTTATTTGAGAAGATAGCATATATATTGAAAAGAATAAGTAATGTACAAGGTTATCACCGGCAAGCGCCATATATTTCTAATTATCAAGATTCCCTTTTAAGATGTACAAAGTATCTTAGGAGTCATGCATAAGTGAAGTATATCATACGGCATATAATATATATAGCATAAGAACTATCATTAAACTTAAAGCTTTATTATAAATTGAATGTTGTATTCCCCCAAAATTCATATGCTGAAATCCTAAACCCCCAATGTGATTGCATTAGGAGGTGGGGTCTTTGAGAGGTAATTAGGTCATGAGAGTGGAGTCCTCATGAACAGGATTAGTACCCTTATAAGAACAGACACAAGAGTTTGTTCTACCTCTCTGCTCTTCCCCCCCATGTCAGGTATAATGAGAAGCTGGCAGTTTGCAACTCAGAAGAGGGCCCTCGCAAGAATCTGACCATGCTGGAACCCTAATCTTGGACTTCCAACCTCCAGACTGTGAGAAGTTGTTTACAGGCCACCCTGTCTATGGTACTTTGTTATAGTAGCCCAAAATTACTAAGACAAGTACATGGTATTAAACATACCACTGAATAAAATAAGAAATGAAGATTACCAAATTGAATTGATAATGCTTTGGTAACTTAGATATTCAGAATATAATTTCCATATGATTTATTTAATAATATGCATAAGAAGTACAAAATTAAAACACTAATTTAGAGAATACCCTTAAATTGTCACTCTGAGTGACAAAAGATATCATAATCATAATCATAACTAAGATTTACCTATTATTTACTATGTACCAGGTACTTTCTAAATTATATATAAGTATATATTTCATATTCACAATTCTATGATGCAGGTAATTCATTATTTCTACTTTACAGATGAGAAAACTGAAGTACTGAGAAGTTAAGTAATTTGCCGAAGGCAAGTGTCAGGGCCAGAGTTCCAAACCACGTGGTCTGTCTCCAGAGTCTATGCCTATGTGGTGAGCATATGATATGTATTCTCTAAATTATCACTTTGTTCACATTTTTATTTATTTTTTAATGCTTATTTATTTTTAAGGGAGAGAAAGAGAATGCAAGCAGGAGAAGAGCAGAGAGACTGAGGGACTGAGGATCTGAAACGTTCTTGGCACTGACAGCTGAGAGCCCAATGTGGGGCTTTAACTCACAAACCGTGAGATCATGAGCTAAGTGGAAGTCTGATTCTTAACCGACTAAGCCTCCCAGTCACCCCATCACTTTGTTCATGTTTTAAGGAGAAAATATAAGGGAAAGAATGGTAAAAACATTATTTCTTCTTCTATTATGGGATCTTGCACTTCCTTAGCAACCTCAAGCCATGCCTTATATATAACAGACAATCAACAAATCAAACCATCCTATGGATGGTTGAGCTCTAGGCTAAGAGAACAGCATTTGTGACCCATATTATCCACTTGTATTCACAATCTCTGATCATATTACTTTTCCCTAGTATTCACTTGTATTTTATCTAGTATTCCCTAATTGCTCTCTTCCCCAAATTCCAAGCAAGAAGTAGAGTGTCTGAAGTACAAAGTTACATAAGAGAGCAAAGAACTGGTCTGAGAATCAACCCTGACACTTTTTATTTATACAACCTTGGACAAGTCACTTCACTCCTCTTGGAAATGAATGTTCGTATTTGTCAAATGAAAGAATTGGATTAGATGACTGATTTTCAAAGTTCAGAAGGAAGGAAGATGGGGAAGCATATGAACAGGTGTGACCTCTTCAGCTTCAAGGAGAATAGCTCCCCTTAAACCTGTTTTACATATTAAGTATGTGAGATTTTGTTTAAATAAAGGAACTCAAGCCTTTACAAAGTTTGAAGACCAATGGATATGATCAAATTCTTAAGTACTGTCTCATTTCAAATATTCTATCCCTCTTGACTGCACAGCATACTCCAGTACGTCAGGCTATTTGTCCTGACCTGTTCAAGACACATTTTAACTGAATCTTAAAATTCTTTCCATCATTACAATTCTGGATCTATTCTTTCAAAAAAAAGAAATTGATTTTTTTCCCCTCCACTCACATTTATCAGTCCATTTTTTGGAAGCTCTTCTTGCCACATCCTTAAATAAGTAAATAGGATAACTGTGGTAATTGCCTGACCTGCAAAGTGTATAGAACTTCAAGGTTAATGCTCTTGGCACAAGATTTTTGCTACAAACAGCAGAATTCCTCTAACCCTTTGCTGAGGCATCGGTTCAATAATAAGAGAAAATCATGCTATGTATTGAATTACTCAAAAGAGAATTATCAGAGAATCCCCTGATGGTCTAACTAAGACTAAAATGTACTCCAAAAAGAACTGGTCTTAAAGAACTTCAGGAAAGGCCTTCACCAGAGATAAAGGAGAAGAGCCAAAACTTAAACAACAACAACAACAACAACCTATATATTCAAGAATTGGTACAATCCTACCCCAAATATTGTGCTAATTACCGATGTTTAATTTTATAATCCTAAACTTCCTTCCACATGAAAGAGAAGAAGCTACTGTTAAGCCTATCCATTCCCTGAAATTCCTTTAGTCAGTTTTCATTAAGGACTGTCAGATACATACATCATTTAGGGCTTTTAAATCTAAATTTTATTGAAGATATATTACATATGGTTTACTATTTCACTTCAGCAATGGCCATCAGCAATAAGCATTACTCCAAGAGTGGGATTAATAAAATATTCTAGCAAACACAGTGATCCAAATAGCAAAGAAAAATCCTGGGCACTGAGCCCAGATTCCCCACCCTCTCTTATGGTGTGTCTCATCTCTCTCTCAGATAAACTAAACAACCAAAAATCTTCCATCATTATTAGTGAATATGTAGAGGTGCAATAAAGGACCAAATTCTTCTACCAGGTCACCTAATAATTTTTTTAAGTAGGAAAAAATTGCACAAAATCAAATTGCTTCATAAAAAGATATTTTTAAAACCAAGGAGAAATAAGTTGTCAGAAATAAAAGGTAACTCGCCTTGGTAATCAGCAGTTTTCCTCTAACCTGACTTTACCACTCCTTCCTCTAATGACAGGCTAGTAGACAGTGACTTTCTATAATTCTAAGTCTGTGTCTTTTATGTTATAAAGTTTTAAAGTATTTCAGTGTTGCATACTTCTAGTGAATATGAATCTCAGCTCCACAAAACCAAGATATTCAGAGCAAACTCATGGCCTTGGTCACACAAAGATTATGGGTTTTACACTCACCAGTTAAAATTGATGATACTCCAACCTTGAATCTTAGCTTTAGGTCTGAACATCTTGGTTTTTATTATCTTAATCTATTTGAATGATGAGCAGGTGGGGGGAGCTCCAGGCAAAATATTTACAAAGGGTCTTATTCATCAACCATTCATGGTTCCTCTTCTTCCTTCCCTCTCTCAGCTCCTAGAACAGCTATTGGTGTCACAATAAAAAAAAAAAAATAGCCTAGGAATAGGGGCACTGGGTGGCTTAGTTGGTTCAGTGTTCAACTTCAGCTCAGGTCAGGATCTCATAGTTCATGAGTTCTAGCCCCACATCAGGCTTGCTGCTGTCAGCACGGAGCTGACTTCAGATCCTCTGTCCCCCTCTCTCTCTGTTCCTACCCCACTCACTCTCTCTCCCTCAAAAATAAATAAACATTAGAAAAAATAACCTAGCAATAACCATTTTCTTCCACCACCAAATCTGCATTTCTGGGACACAATGTACCTTAAATCTTCTGTCAAAGAACCCTCTTGGTTCAATGGGGAGACATTTACTAATATGTAAAAATCTTTGAAGCTAGAGAGCTGACAAAAGGATCAAAAAACAAAAAGCAGTTGTAGCATCATTACATTTATATAGCCTAAATAATTTTTAAAGTATGATCAAATATAGTACATAATTTTATCTTTCCAATAAATTTATAAGGTGGTTATGTTATTCATATGAAGTTGCTTATCTTATGTGAACTTCAGAGTCCTCATCTTTAAATGGGATATATTTCACAGGGTTGCTGTGAACCTAAAACAAAATAACATGTGTAAAGTACTTGGTACAAAGTACTCAATAAATGGTAGCTTGAGTTTTTTAAATTATTATTAGCCCTACAAATAAAGGAAACATTGCTTAGAGAAAGTAACCAGCCCAAGTGCATTCAATGGAATTGACTTCATTGAGTAACTACACAGAGCTGTGATAGAAAAATTCATGAAATCCCTCTGCCTTCTACCTAGGAACTCATACTCACTCTTAGTAAGAAAGCAAACAAGTTCTAGAACCAAGCGTTCTTTTCACTCCATTCTGATGCAAATCTAGAAAAAAAAAAAAAAGAGGTAAATTGAAACCCATGTCAATGGATGCTTAGATTAAAAATCCTCTGGGGCACCTGAGTGGCTCAGTCGGTTAAGTTTTCCAACTTTAGCTCAGATCATAATCTCACGATTCATGAGTTTGAGCCCCACATCTGTTGTCAGCACAGAGCCCACTTCAGATCCTCTATCTTCCGCTCTCTCTCTGCACCTCCGCTGTGCTCTTGCTCTCTCTCAAAAATAAACATGTTTATTTTAAAAACATGTTTTAAAAATTTTTTAAAGCCCACAACCTTCTGCTTATGCAGGTTTTTTTGACTGTGGCTAAGAGTACTCTAACTCAATGTGCCCTCCCTAACCTGCCTCCCTTCCAGTGGGAGTTTCCTCCTTTGAATAGAATAGAAAACTTTTGCTTTTGGGGGCACCTGGGTGGCTCAGTCGGTTAAGAAAACTTTTGCTTTTGTATAACACTGTACAGTTGACTAAAAGCACTTTCACCTATACTAAGTAATTAATCTAACTAAATAACTTTATTTCCCCCAAATTCTGTGAGGTATGAATTAGTAAAATCATTTCAGAGTAGAAGAAATTGAGACACAGCTATAGGTGTCAAAATCCAGACTAGAACTAGATCAGTAGCCTCATGCTAGTTTAATTATTACTTTAAAGCTTCCCCACTAAACTACATTAAACCTATGTTAAAATACTATGTTAAAATATTTTTGCACTCTCACCTAGATTTCCTTCTATTTTCTCTGAGCCTCAGTGACACACTCTAATTCTCCTAGGGGTCCAATACTGAACCTTGTATTTGAGGACTTCCCCCCAGGCAATATGTTTATTCAGTAATCCATGCAACATAATATAATATCACCTTTTCAAGTAAGGCTATGACTTTTACATAGGCTACATCCATAAAGAAAGATGGAGAATGATATTTTGCATTTGTTTAGCAGTCTTTCAAAGTGCTTTCATATATATTATTCAGAAAGAGAGAATGAAATTTGAATTTAAGAGTAGAAAGGATGTTAGAGATTCTCAAATTCAGTGTTTCTTAACCTTGTTTGGGTCGCTTGCCAATTTGAGAATCTGACAAAAGCTACAGAACTCATGCTCAGAAAGATGTACAAATGAACATATACATACAAATCTGCAAAATTTCAAGGAGATTCTTGGACTGACCCCAGTTAAGAATGGCTCTAATTTCCAAGTCTCAATTTACAAAGGAGGAAGCTACTATTTAATTGTGACAGCATTCTTATGAGGAGACAGACTAAGGATTATTATTCACATTTCTAAATCTGGAAACTAAGGTCCAGTGAGGTTTCAAGACTTGCCCAGTCTTCCAGCTAGTTAACATCAAGCAGTAGCAGAACCCAGGACTCTGCACAGTCTAGTTCTTATTCTTCTAGATCACATCGCCCTCCCACTGGAACTTCTTCACCATAAGAAAGCCTCTTTCTATAGCCAACAGTTTATTTGACCCTTCATAACAAACATAATTCTTGACCTCCAGTGATAAAGCTCCAAATAAAAAAAATTGTTCTCTTCAAAACAGTAACTAATTTTTAGAGATTTCCAAAAAGTTTTAGTCACTGCTAACACATTAGATATTAGAATCTACAAATTAGAATTGTAAACAACTCTGTAATTTCTATATTGGTGGTTAAATACCAATCTGGTCAACCTTTCCATTTAGTAGCAAACATACCTGAATGTAGGCTAAGAAGGCAAATATGTTAGCACTTCTTTTGGAAGGGTGCAGGAAAGTAATATTAGCATATTAGAATTATATCTAGCACACAGAATGCTTACTAAATATTTGTTAACTGAATAAATGAATTTACCTACAAATATCATTGAGTTTTTCAAATATTTTATTTCCACTTTGAAAAATTATATATAAAGTTATATGGAAACCAACTTGACAATAAACTATTTAAAATATATATAGAGAAAGTAAGAATACACTCAAATACAGTACTTTGTGGTTATGGTCTAAGTTAAACCTTCAACAGTATATTCAATACTAAACTATACATAAAACAAAATGCTTTTCTAAATGTTTACTCAGATTTTATCAAAACAGTCTATTTATTAAGATAGCGGTCCTGATTAATCTTATTTTAATTTATTCATTCTCTCATAACATAAACATATATAAAATATTTATTGGGAAGAAAATATCTCAGATACATATAAAATATTTACATATACCAAAGATACTATAACATTTATGATGAATGTTAAATTTTTGCAGAATATAGTTATTATTAACATTTAATTTAACTTCACTTAATAGCAGGCTATCTTGCTACTCTCAAGATTTCCATATCTGAAGAGCAGTCTTTATTTATAAAGCCAAAAGCTTCCAGAATTTGTGCCAGGGTGCTGAGTGTTTTGGTATTTAAGAAGAATGAAAGATGCTGTGTTTTAGCTTTGCTTATTTGTGCTAGCTTTAGTAGACTTTGAGTCTGAATTTTAATGTTTCATCAGCATAGATTTTGTGATAACTGGATAGGTTAAATTTTTTCTACAAAACAAATGCTTATTAAGGCAATAAACCTGTTGAAAGAATAAATTAGCAGGCAGGTTATGTTTTTAGGATATCTATACTACAGAAAATGTATTGTACCCACTCTACCTAGTGATTAGGTTTATATTGCAATGTGACTCATAAGACTCACTGTACTGAATAAAAATTTAGGCAATTAGTGATCTTATTTCTTAGGAAGAACAGCTTGCTATCGTATATTAACACAGATCTCGCTCAATTAAAATTGCTCACAGTCAGCAAAAATAATTTCTGCACTGTAATGAAATAATGAAATAATTATATGCAAGGGAGGACTTGTGATCTTTTTAATTATTCTATTCTTCATTTTTAAAAGGGCTATTTGAAAACGTACTCTTATAATTGATTGCTATAAATCAGTCAAATGCATTCTAAGGATCATAAATATTCTAACTTTTAAAAGACAAAGAAATGCTAAATATTCAATGAAATACTTCAATATTCAGAAAATTTAATCTGGGGGGAAAGGATAGACTGCTCTTTGGAAAATAAAAAAGTAAATTTGTTGTCCCGTGAAAAATGAAATATATTGAATGTCAGTAACAGAAATGGAATTAACAAGAGATCTTTTTATTGTTTTTTAAGGTCATTAGGCTGTGAATTCTATAATTATGGAAATTGTCAGTCCAGTTCTGTAAGAATGTTTGCTCCCATCCATAAGGTAGTGGAATGTTCAATCAGTCTCTCTCGTGGGAAAGTTAGGTCATAACTGTAAGTGTACCAGCAAAATTGAATTAAGCAAAGAGATTTCATTAGTATTTATAGCCAGAAGGCATCTGTAAAAGTACAGGGCAAAGAAGTTATGTGGAAGTCAAAGGAGAAAAAAAAAATGGGTTTCCAGTGACAAAGGCAAATCTGAAAGAGATATAAGTGTATAATGAATAAGAGCTATTGAACGCTACTGCAAAGAGGGAGTTGCAAAGATGTCAAATATTGATTTTCTTGTGTATGCCTTTGGACTACATATGTAATTGTTTGGATTTGCTGTCTTCATGGTACAACAATATTTGTTGTCGAAGGTTAAAAAGCATGATGTGAAATAAACTAAAAACTAAGAAACGTGTTGGAGAATTATAATAATCCTCCACTCAGTATCTCATTGAAAGGTTTCTATAATTTCTTGCAAAAGAACATTTTTAATGAAGAAAAATGTTCTGTTATTTTTCAAACAGAACACAAGATCCTTATTATTAATTATGTTAATTGGTAATTATTTGATTAACTTTCAGCATCATTTTAAAGTGAACCAGGTTTTCTACTTCTTTATTTTACTGAATGGATATTCTTAAAACATTGATCTAATTTTGAAAGTAGTCAAACCATACTTAAAAAACAGTATATTATAATCAATCCAATTAAAGCTAAATTGATAATAAAAATCTCATGTCACCACTTTAAAAGAAATACTTTTTACAGTGTTTTCCTTTTCACTAGAGAAACTCCATAAAGAAAACTTCTGCATATTAAACTCTACATAAGCATATATATTTTAATAAATCGCAAACTCAATCAAATGAATAATCAAGATCGTACAGTCACTAGATAAACAAATACTACCTTCTTTTGTTTTCAGGGGTTATTTTCTGTCTAATTATTCAAGTCTGAACAAAGAATTTTAACAATCGTAATGCTGTTTTTACATAACAGCATAACTTGTTTCTTTTATCTGATTTTATTATTGTTAGGACCTTGAGTGAACATTTACGAATATTACCTTGTTGTCTTTCCTACCTCAGGAAGTTAAAAACAGCAAAACTCTCCTGGTAGATTTTATTGCACTTAAAACCATAATGACCACAAACTGAAAAGAGAAAGAAAAAAAAAGTATGAGATGTTTTAAGCATTAGAGGCAGACAGGGGTACAAATAAAGGAACAGTATAATATATGGCAGAAGCCTATCATTTTTACCAGTGCAGAAAATACTAGAAAGGACAAACCTGCAGAGAAGACAATTTCTGCAGCACAAACAAGTTTCACATTTTATTTTCAATGTCTCACTTTTAACGTTGCTAAATATTTAATAGCAAAGTAAAACAGAGTGACAGCATTGTATCTATGTGAAATCCAAAATATTTTTTTCCCAGGGCTTTGGAAGCATGTAGGACGAGAAAGAGGTAATCTGACAGTAATGGCAGCTCCTCTCCGAGGTAAATACTTGTCAGGAACAAAACATAATTCAATTGCACTCTTCTTTTCTGAAAAGGTTGCTTGTGGAATATCCATCATAAAGTCATTTCTATTTCTTAAAAGCTATTAGTGCCTGGCCCCTTGGCTTCATTAAGATACTCTTTTTCAATATATTCTTTTATTTTAGACTTCATCCCAGTTTTCAGCTACACAAGGCACATTGCAATTTCCCGGCTACCAAGGGAGATGTCAGCCACGCCCCCCAATGACTGACATGCAAGGACAAGGTAGCAATGGAGAAGAAGGAGGATTTGTTGGCATTAAGTCGGAAACATTTCTTAAACCCTAGAGGTTAAAAGGGAGTTTGGCCAAGCTTCTAAGCCAGAGTGCTATATCATTTAGCTGACACTAACATTACCATACTTCCCATTAGGAGGGCATCAGTCTCCCAGCCCGTTAATCTCACCCAATGTTCTGGTGGAGCTAAAGAAGCCAGAAGTTTTGAGAGTCCCTGCTGCCAGACCTCAATGTTGCCTAAGCAAGCATTAAGAGATTATGGTAATAATAGGTGTGCTTACACCAAATAAAAGGTTTCATTAATCAAGTCATATTGAGATAAACCTGTCACTGGACGGAGGAGACCAGAAATCAAATACTGTGAAAGTTCTGACAGATTGTTAAATAGAAACCCTTTAAAATAGAATTTAATTTACTGTGATATTATGGATATTTATGCATCAATAGGCAAGTGCAGATTGAGTTCAGAGGTCAGCTCTGGTATTTGAAAAATAAAAGCACAGGATGAAACAAAAGGTGACAGTTACCTTTGTCTGAAATTAGGGTTCATTAGACTAAATGGGAAGGTTCTAACTGATTCGTGTAGGGAACTGAAGCACAGCATGCGATGTGGTGTGCAATATTGGATAACAGGCAAATCCAATTAAGGGATCTTCATTCTATTAAAGACTTGTCTACAAACTTAAAAAAAAAAAATCTCAAAGCCAGCCATGGGGCAGTCCAGGTGTTGTCTGTGGTGACCCTCTCTCACACCGTAGTAGGTGAATATTATTTCCTTCCCAGCATGATGGTTAGGAGTGCTGGATTTGGGAGTCAGATAGACCTGAGTTCAAATCACAGCTCTGTGACTTACTACTTACTGGTATGACTTTTTCAAATGAACTTCTTTTGGCCTCAGTATCCTAATCAGTGAAACAGGTACTACCAGTAACTACCTGATACATCTGTTGTGAGGAATGAGATCAGTTTTGCAAAGAACTTAGGCTAGCAGTGCACAAGAAACCATAGTTATTAATTCTTCTTTTTCCTTCTCCTTTTTTTCTCTCCCTCTTCACTCCTTCCACTCTCCTGTTTTATCTTTTGCCCTCCTCTTCCCTTCTTGTTTTACCCTGTCTATCCCACAGCACCAAGCAACAGCACCAGCAGAAAGCACCTCCAGGCACAGTGCAGCCTCTTTGGATCAAAGAGCCTGCTGACTTGTGGTTTGCAAGCAGAGTTCAAAATGAAGACATGAAAGTCCTGTTCATTCATACTGCTTCATTCATGAAACAATGTTGGAAGTTCCTTTGGCTCTCTAGTGTCTGAAATTTGCTTGCTCATACTCATAGAAGGAAGTTTCAGATTCTACCAAATTGACCCACAGGTGCAATCTTTCCTTAAAGCCAAATCAGGACTTTGTCACAAATCTTACTGACTGGTGGCTGAAAATGTGTATGATTTGTTTAACAAATCTTTTTAAAGAATCCCACACTCTCTAAGAATACAGGTTGACATATATTTCAATCTAATTCTTATTTCCAACACTTTACTGGGCTTTGTTTTGTATTTTAAGGTTTCTATTTCTTAGTGTCTCTATGCCATTCCATTTATTCTACTTGAAAGAAAAAAGAAGTCCTTTTAAAAAATGTTTGAATAATATATCAATGAATAATGGCTACAGAAAGGGTCTCTGTTGAAAAACAGAGAGCACCTTACCCATATTTGAAAGATAATAGGCAGGCAACATACAATCCTGTTACTATACCTCCCAGGTGTCTAGAAAACAGCCAAGACAGATTCAAAATGCTACAAAAAGTAGCTGTGCCCTTTAGAGAAAGTCTTTGTCTTCCTTGGACTCCCAAGCTGGGTTAAGTGCACCTCCTCCAAATCTACCTGTTTCCTATAAATCTGTATCAGAACTCTTCCCACACTATTGAATTATCTTCCCCACCACTAACTTTAAGCTATTCATGAGCACAGATATCTTATTTATCTTTGTATTTCCTTGCCAGAAGTGGTGTTTTTGACAAATGTTTGCTGAATTAATAAAAAAAAAAAATTCACATCCAGGCCTGAGTAAAATTATCCATTCAAACCCCCTTCACATTTATTAATTGAAAGTGGCATAATTGACCTGCATGTAAAGAAAAAATGACTCAGACAGCTTGAAATCATTTAATATTAAAACAAGATCTCTGGGGAAACCTGGGTGGCTCAGTTGGTTGAGCATCCAGCTCTTAATTTTGGTCATGATCTCACAGTTTGAGTTTGAACCCCATGTTGGGCTTCATGTTTAACATGGAGCCTGCTTGGGATTCTCTCTCTCACTCAGTCTCTCTCTCTCTCAAAATAAATAAAAGTAAACATTAAGAAAAAAAATAAGAGGGGCGCCTGGGTGGCTTAGTCGGTTAAGCGTCCGACTTTCACTTAGGTCATGATCTCGCGGTTCGTGGGTTCGAGCCCCGCGTCGGGCTCTGTGCTGACTGCCAGTTTGGAGCCTGGAGCCTATTTCAGAGTCTGTGTCTCCCTCTCTCTCTGACCCTCCCTGCTCACGCTGTCTCTCTCTCTCCTAAAAATAAATAAAAATATTAAAAAAAAAAGTGAGATAGGAAATAAGATAGTCCCAGATTTTAAAAGAGCTGAGCGAGTTCATTACCACTAGACATGCCCTACAAGAAAGGCTCAAGGGAATCCTACAAAGTGAAATAAAAAGACACTAGACAATAAACTCAAAGCTGTCTAAAGAAATAAAAATCTCAGCAAAGGCAAATACATGGGCCATTATAAAAGCTAATACTATTGTAACAATGACATAACCATTTTTTAAAATGTTTATTTACTTATTTTTGAGAGAGACAGAGAGACAGAGTGTGAGCGAAGGAGGGACAGAGAGAGGGAGACACAGAATCCGAAGCCGGGTTCAGGCTCTAAGCTGCCAGCAGAGAGCCCGACATGGAGCTCAAACTCATGAACTGTTGTGATCATGACCTAAGCTGAAGTTGGACATTTAACTGACTGAGCCACCCAGGTGTCCCTATAACCATTTTTGTACACGATTTAGGAGACTAATACATTAAAAAGAAACAACTATTAGTCTAAAAGCTAGTATTATGGTAACTTTGGTGTCCACATTTTGTTTTCGACATAATTTAAGAAACTAATACATTTATTTATTTGCAAACACTTCTTAATTTGTAAAAGATGCTTAGGAGGAAAACTGCATCTGCTCAAGTACAAGTTTTACATGACTATTTCGTTTATGTCCCATGTACTTGAGAGACATTGAGGTTAATTTAATTATGACTGTCTCATGCTTAGTATCATAAAGAGATTGTCATGATTGCACAGTGAGGTAATATACAGTTACCTACCTTGACATTTACTTTGTTGTCAACTAGATCAAGACTAATGCATTTAAAAGAATTATTTATGTACATAGATGCAATCAACAACTGAAAGGGGTGGGAATAGACCTATAAAGAAGTAGAGATTTATTATGTTACTGAAGTTAAATTAGTGCAAATTCAAATTACACTGTTATAACTTTAGGATATTAAATGCAACCTCCACAGTAACCATATATACACACAAAATCAGCTATAGAATATACACAAAAGGAATTGAGAAATAAATATAAAATTTTCACTNGGCAGTCAGCACAGAGCCCGACGTGGGGCTCGAACCCACGAACCGCGAGATCATGACCTAAGTGAAAGTCGGACGCTTAACCGACTAAGCCACCCAGGCGCCCCTGAAGTTATCTGAAACTTTGACCGGAGTTAGAGCTCCACTTCCAAGATGGCTCACTCACATGGCTATTAGCAGAAAGCTGGTTTTCCTCAGCAGCTATCAGGCAGAAAGTCTCAGTACCTTGTCATGTGGACCTTTCACAGAGCTGTCTGAAAGTCTTCATGAGCTGGCACCTGCCTTCCCCAGAGTGAAGGAATGAAGACAGTACAAGGCAGAAAGAGGCCACAATGTCTTCTATGAGGTAACCTCAGAAGTGACATATTACTTATATCATATTCTATTCGTTACACAGATCAATGCGGATACAATGTTGGGAGGAGACTATACATGGCTGTTATTACCAGGAGGCAAGGGATCATTGGGGACCATCTTGGAGCCTGGCTACCACAGCAATAAAAATTAATATCCATGCCAATGGAGCAGAGAAGAAATGATTCTTAGTTGATTAGGGGGGTGGAAAATCAAAGTCAAAATGACTTCCAGAATGGAGATTCAAGTGTACTAAGCCACCTCAAATAATAACTACTTAAGTAGATGAACTGGGAGTTCTGATTCCTTGTTCCTATAGTTTTTATATCCAGAACTCTTCATTGTATCACTTACTCCCTGAAGTCACCAAAAGCAAATTTACCTTTCCCAA